GATTGGCTAAAGAGACTCATGGACAGATACAAACCCTGACCACAGAGATGACAGAAGAGAGGGAAACCGAGGAAAGGAGAAATCAGTAATTTTGTGTGTACCCCCTCCCCAGGGCTGGAACCGTTTTCCAGCATGCTAGGTAAGTGCTCTGCCATTGAGCTACATTTACAGTCCTGGAATGTGTGTGTGTGCGCGCACACACATGCTCACATATATACACACACATATACATATATACACATATATGTATATATAATTAAGTATGTATGTGCGTATATCCCCCCTCTCTGTCCATGGGGAGGGGACGGAGGGAGTTACACATGCATGTAAATGCAGATTCCTAGGAAGGCCAGCCTCTCCTGGAGCTGTAGTCTGCAGGCAGCTGTGAGCTGCAGGCATGAGTGTTGGGACTGAATTTCAGTTCTCTGCAAGGGGTGTGTGCTCTCAACCACTCTCAATCCCCTCAACACTGTAACTGAAAAATAGATAGAAGACAGATAGATAGATAGACAGACAGACAGACAGGCAGACAAGAAAGATAAAAGAAAGCTTAGCCCTGAAAACAAAAACAGAAAACAGAAGTCACTAAGAAAAATGACACAAATCTAACCTCCCACAAGTTAAATACTCCCGCATAACTGTGCACACAAGGGCAGGACAGAAAGGGAAACATCTGATTTGTTAACAACAGGTGGACTGAAGTCCAGGATCCAGGCAGAGCTTCTTAAATTGATGAGATTTCAATTCACCAGAAGGGGGGAAATGGCAAAGAAATTGACAGAGGAATTAGAGGAAATACAAATTGGTTTCTAAAATGTTAAGAGTAAATGTAGAAGAATCTATTAGCATTTAAAATGCACACAGCCGATGTTGTGCTCTAAGATTTGGGATAAACTTCAAATGTCATATGCAGAAGTGGGCATAAAGTGTACTACAGTATTCATTTTGAAAGGAAAAGAAAAATATGAAAAGATACACATTGTTCCACCTGTGGGTGTATGGATTATATCTGAACGACAAAAAACTGGCAGAACTGGCTATAAGTCAAAAAGGAAATGCAGAGCTAGGGAACAGGAGGAGGGTGGAGTTGTTACTTTATATAACTTCTCGAATTTTGATTGTTGTGATTTTTTTAACTACATGACTAACCCTAAACAAGTAATCTTGCATAAGTAAGATAATTACCTACCCTTCTCAACAGTCCCTCAGACCTCAAGAGACAAAAGAGAACTCTTTAAATGACTGCTTAAGCTGGATGTGGTGGTGGCGGCACACGCCTTTAATCCCGGCACTCGGGAGGCAGAGGCAGACATCTCTGTGAGCTGTGAGTTAAAGGCCAGCTTGGTCCGCATAGTGAGTCTGAGAACAGCAAGGGCTGCATGGTCAGATACTGTCCCAAAAAGAAATAAACACAAGAAATAACTGTTTAAAATGTGTACATTCTTTGACCCACAGATTCTACTTCTAGACATAATTTCTATTCAGAAAGATTCTAAATGTGCCATAAATAAAGACAGGCAGATAAAGTTGGAACAATCTAAGGGCCCATCAATAGGGAAATGTTTAAATAAATAAAAGTACCCAGAAAGTACTATACAGCCCCATGAGGCTGCAGGATGTGGTGATGCAAGTTTTCAATCCCAGAACTTGGGAGGCAGAGTCAAGTGGATCTCTATGTGAGTTCAAGACTATGTGATGAGACCCTGTCTGAGAGAGAGAGAGAGAAAGAGAGAGAGAGAGAGAGAGAGAGAGAGAGAGAGAGAATTATGCCTATTACTACTGAGATTGGTTGAGTTTTATGTCATATTGTTCAATCAAAACAATTAAAGGAAATTAAAGCCAGGCGGTAGTGGCGCATGTCTGTAAATCCAGCACTTGGGAGGCAGAGGCAAAGGCAGGAAGATCTCAGTGAGTTCGAGACCAGCCTGATCTACAAAGTGAGTTCTAGGACAGCCAGACTGATACAGAGAAACCCTGTCTCAAAAACAAACAAATGAAAAAAACCCCAGTAAGTTATGGAAATTATATGTGTGTGTGTGTGTGTGTGTAATTTTTTTTAACATATTGTGATTGGTTCTAAAGTTAGAAATGTAGACAAAATTTTATAATGTCTTATAATGCATAAACACTGAAAAAGACCTGACCTGAAGTGCTGAAGAGAAAGTTCCCTCCGTCGAGTACTTGCCTTGAAAACGTGAAGACCTGTGTTCATAACCCCAGCACCCACATAAAAGTCCCATTCCCACATCTGTAACTCCAAGGGGGCAGGAGGTCCCCTGGAGCCCACTGGCCAGCCTAGAGAATGAGTAAGCTTCAAATTCAGAGAGATCCTGTCTCAGAACTGGGTAAGGGGGACACTTCCCTCGGTACAGTTGACCATGAAAGTTGCCCATGCTCCAGTAAATAGCATCCCTCATCCCGTACACATGCAAGCAACCCTAATCAAAGGTCCAGAAATGGCATGAAAGTAGAGGCGGGCTATTTGGGACAGAGGGGGTTCAGTTAAAGAGGGAGGGAGAAAAGAGAAGTTAGAAGGGGATGAAGCATGGTCAAAATCATTACATACATTGTCAAATATAAACAGTAAGGTGAAGGAAGGTTATCAACCTCTGGCTGCCACGTGCACACATGTACACCACACACACATACACACGCACACACACGTACACGCACGCACACACTTGTGTACACACACAGACACACACACACACGTGCGGGCGTGCACACACACACGGGCCTGGAAGGAAATACATTTGATGTGGTTACCTCAGAGGTAGAAAAAAGAGTAAAGGAGATATGAATAGAACTTTAATTTTTTTATATACTCCTATATTAAAAATCTTTCCTAATAACTTGTGTTTTTGAAAACTTACTACATACCAGATAAACTCTGGTATCATTATGTTCCCCCATACACTGTAAGGGGCAGAGCTAGGCAGTACCTAGGGCTGGGTAGTTCAGATTATTCCCAGGCAGCTATGACTCCAGGATAAAACCAACACAAACCAAAACCAAAAAGCAAGTGCACCTTATCAGACATACTGAAAACTTCTTCCTTCATGCTCCCAACTTTCCTTGACTACATCCGCCCTGAGTGCCACCGTCTCCACTGCCAGGCACAGAAAAGACCCCAGAAACAGACAGAAAACGGGTTGAAAGTATACTTTTGGGGGACAGGATATGATCATTGGCGAGATTCGGCTCAGTTGAATGAATGAAGCATTAACTCCTTCCTCCGAACTACAAAGCACACTAACCTGCCCTCATCTTGTTCACACTGTCGGGTTTTAGACACACCGCTTCTCCCCTCTAGCCGTGCTTGACAGCGGCTCAGCTAGACTGTGTCTCAAAAGGTCTAACCTAGACTGTACCCTGGCAGTCTGCAGGGCCACAAAACACCTGGCCGCACAATTCAATGGCTCTGCATATTTAACAAAAATGAGTTTTGAATTAAAAGCCATTTTTTTAAAATGATATTTTTCTCCCTGCAAAAATTAACAGTTTCCACCAAGATCATATCAGACAATAATGATGGGACCTGTGACCACAGTATCCACAGCAACCACAGTATCCACAGCAGGCTGCCTCCTCCTGGGATGTCACTCTGCACATAACCCTACCCAGCCACCTGCCCGGCTTTTTCCTAGACTCTGGCTTCCTGGGTAGCATCGTCCAGGGAGTGTGTGCCATAGGACTCTACCTGGATCTGCTGACATTTATGACAGATGAGGTTCAGACCCCAAACAGAGCACACACGCCCTCGGATTATTCCATACTCCTTGGTCAGAGGATTCCCAGTGCAAAGGGCTGCAGCACAGAGCTGGGGACCCAAGGTCTTTAAGTTATTACCAAAATACCAAGCAGATTTCTTTCTGAGGTCTCTATGCTCAGTGCCATCTCATTAGGTCTGTAGAACAAAACGTCCCGAGTCAAATGACCTCCATGTGCAAAGCATTGCTAAGTCAAAAGATGCTAGTTCAGCCAGGAGGCAGAGGCATACATATCTCAGCAAGTTCAAGCCCCACCTCACCTCCACTCCCACCCACATAGTGAGTTTCAGGACAGACAGGACTACATAGAGTCCCTGCCTCAAACAAAGCAAAACAAATAAACAAACAAACACTAAAAGGGCAATGTATTTCACCTTCCTGACTTTCAGTTTCCTCACCTGTCAAAGGGGACAATAATTGCAGTTCACGGGGCTGTCATGTAAATGGGTTTAAAGGTGAGTATGAAACCAGCTGTCAGCACCTTGGAAGTATAAAATAAGGTGGGGAAGGCTAGGGCAGGAAGAGGGGCTATGGAAGAAGCAGGGTGGAGGCCCCGCCCCCACCGCATTCTTCTAGAGGGGCTGGCAAATGCTATTTTTCACCTGCTCTCAAGGTGGCTGAAGTAAGATACAGGTTAACATCGATTTGGCAAAGCTGAGGCTCCAAGAGGCTGGGCTGCAACCGGGGCTGGCTTTCTGCAAGCGGGAGGAAACCTATTCCGAGGCTCCAGCAGCCCCCAGCACCTATGACAGTCTGATCTATTAGGGTCGCCCACTGGGCACATCACCGAACCCAGGTCTCTTCCCTTCAAAACTGCAGCTTTCTCCTTATCTAGCAGCGAGGGGGACTAAGCGGCCGCTCTTGTAAACACTTTGCAAAAGGGTTCAGAGGTACGATAATGAAAAGGCAGAGTCTCAAGAGTGGTGCTACCCAAAGGTGCCAACGCCCGGCTGCAGCCACTGGTAAGCAGCTGCTCTGAAGTGCACGGGCCATCCCAATAGACGTTCCTCATGCCACACGCCTTTGTCCACGGGATGCACCCAGGCTTAAGCTCTTGGCCCACTTGGTGAAGTGCTCCTCCCCAACCCCCAAACCAGCCGAATCTCCCTCTCACAGATCTGAGAGGCAGGGGCGCCCATCCCGCGGCACCGGGGCGACGTCTGCGTTTGCCTTCCACCCAAGCTCTGGCACAGGGACACCCTGAGTCCTGACCAGGAGGATGTTACTCACCTGATCCTCACGGATTCCAGCCGAGGGTCGGGGTCGCTGCGCCCCACACCCCCATTCCTGAGCCGGCAGTAGGGGGCGCGGCCCTCCCGGGCTGAGTCCGGGGAACGCACTGATGCTCTCCCTTCCCAGGAAATGTGGAGAGGGGCTCCGGGGAAATGGAGCGGGCTGCACCCAGCAGAACCAGGTGGGCTTCTGGAAAAGCCTCTGGCCGATTGGAGGGGGCGCGCCCCCCAGGCTCTTCCCACAAAGAGCTTCAAAGACAGATGCCAAAACACCAGCGCCCCAAAAGCAAGGCGCGGTGCAGCCGGGAATGAGCCTCAAGAAGACTTGGGAGAGGGGGGGCTCCGGGACCGCCGAAGGGGAAGGGGGGGTCGGAGGGAGGGCTGCAGACCCAGCCGGGCCGGCGCCTAGCACAATGCTTTCAGCGCCGCTCCATCCCCGGGCAGCCCATCCCGCCCCGGCCTGCGCCCCTCTCCTCCTCCCGCCTGGTGCTCACCGAAGCGCCGCGGCAGCTCAGGGC